TCTTGGATTCCCTTACATGGGGCGAAACGTCAGTGTCCACTTTTTCGCAAGGCAGTTTTAATTTGTGTCGATGTAGAGTACTTTAAAAGAAAATATACTCGTTTACTTGCGAAGTGAGAAGAAAAGGAACCTATCCAAAGATTACTTCTTTGCATTTTCTCGACAGACTGTCAAGGAAATGATGAGCCTCAAGCTTGCGGACGAGTTAAGGCAGCACATTACTGACAGCGAAACACACAACCCAAGTTACTATGGCACCCCCCGATATCACGTGCCAATCAAAACTGGAACAACACATCTGGCAGTACTGGCAGCTAATGGAGACGCGGTGTCGCTTACAAGCACTGTCAATGGATAGTAAGAACACTTCTTTAGTGTAAAGCATGTTACCGTGACTTAGTATACTTACACCGGGTTTGTACTTAATTGGAGATGCCAACCAGTCGAGTAGTATAGGTAATTGTGTATCTTACTGGAAAATTGAAAAAAAGGAATTTGGCAATTATTTTTCAAAAGTATGCCAACTTAGACTTGACAACTTCTTTGTTATAGTTTACAGCGTTTTACTCACTCTGAAGATTCGAAGATCTATACAACCTCCTCAATAGGAAACTTATCATTAATTTAAAACTTGAGTTATTAAATGTATCGTGACTTGCTTTTTCACAGTTTTGGAGCAAAGTTTCTTTCAAACAAACTCGGTTTTGTCTACAACAACGAGATGGACGACTTCAGCGCACCAAATGTAACGAACGAGTTTGGACTGCCCCCTTCACCTGTAAATTTCATCAAGCCTGGCAAGAGACCACAATCCTCAGCGGTCCCTGAGATGATACTTGACAAAAAAGGCAATGTGCTGATGACGATTGGTGCTGCGGGCGGTACTATTATAACAACGTCGGTAGCACAGGTTAGTTTGTTGTATATAACAATCATTATGTTCGATTCACGTTAGTGACCGAGAGTGAGGGGAAAATCTCAGACCGGGGCCTTGATGAAAGCCGAGGTCTGAGATTTTCCTGTAATGACCGAACGGACAATGATAATAAGTCATTCATTCAGTGTATGGCCTTTTGGGGGATTTTCTTAAAAAGAACACATTAAAAAACACCGGAATTTTCAACATTCGCTTGCGTGCGCAAGAGGTCATTTGAGGTCGTACTAAATTACTATCGGTACGTTAGTATTTTTCTCTCTGTGACTGGAATGATATAGTTATATTTTGTCGTTATTTTTTGTTGTTTTCCCCCTCGCACTCTTCGCTTTTACTAACAGCTCAAAAAAGCCGTCCAGCCGAAAAAAATTTTCAAGATGTCTTTAATACAAGAAAATCTTGCCCGTCAATCAGCCAATCGGAGAGCGGGTACTATTGTCGTGTATTGTAGCCATACAGTAACATCTTGGTAATACGTTTTTTAGCGGTTTTTGCCATTAATTGTTATTGTCTGATCAGGTTTGAATAGTTAGATGGATCTAACATCAACTAATATTATTGGACGATGACATCATGTTGGAGCAATATGTTGGATTCGTGTGAATGGGCTCTTAAAACTAAAAGGTTTCGAATACCAGGTTAAACCTGTTCATGCCCTTATAAGTCACTGATTTCACTATATCATAGGATAGTTATAGGATACTTGTGTGAATTTTCCTAGTACAGCGGAAGTTCTGTTGTGACCGATTCCAATTCCGAACGGAAAATTCCATCATCAATGGCAGATCGAGAATCTGCGGCTGACTCTCGTACAGACATTCTCACATCTTACAACATCGTTTTTGTTTTGCAGGCAATCATGAACTATTTCTGGTTCAAAAGGGATCTGCAGAGTGCCATCACGATGCCGCGAGTTCACGATCAACTATTCCCAAGCTCTGTATTTGCAGAAACCAAGTTTCCTAAAGAAGTAGTGAAGGGGCTTGAAGCCATTGGACATAAGGTTTGTAATTACTGCAAGTTTCTTCACTGTAAGGCCACAAAAACGAAAGCTGTCAAATTGCTGCCTTTCTTTGATTTAGTTTTAAAAAAATCAGGGAATGACCGAGGCCAACAAACAAAGTCTCTCCATCCACACCAAGCATGAATTGTACAGGGGAAGTTTTCACCGGTTAACTTAATTGCATTTCTAAGGACAAAATAAGCACAGATAGTCATAAGACTTTGTTAATTGATCCCTAAAAGACTACGAGGTTACATATTCTCCTTTTGGATCCCCTTAGCACGAGCCCATAATCTGGAGCGAGCAACTTCCATGTACCCGTGTCACGGAGTTTTCACGGACCAGTTTATTTTTAGAACGGTTTTGGCGGGAATTTAGAATATCTTTAAACTCCCACAAATTCCAGTCAGCAAAACCCACAGACCTAAAAATGATAATTTTTGCCTTTTAATGACGTTACGTTTTCCTTTTTGATATCTTACACTTCGAATGCGTTCATAGACCTGGCGTAGATTCCATTTTCGCGGGAAAAATTGTCCTAAAATGTGTCTAAAAATAAATCGGTCCGTAAAAACGCTGTGAAATAGGCCTAGTATGGGAGTTGCTCGCCCCGGGTTATCGGCTCCTGATGTTGGTTATAATTTACTCAGTTCCGGTATTATTGTAGTCGTGATCATTAGCCCGCGCTTTTGTATTAGAAAGCACCTCCGGCTCAAGGCTTTAATTCGATCTTCTGTTGTTTTTCCAAAGGTTAAAGTGAGCGACGTTAGTCATGGTGTGGTACAAGGAATTGTGAAAAAACCTTACAAATTCAAACTAGTTGACACTCATGGAAGACGAAAGGGATACGTGTATGGTCTGGTACCACAAATCTATGCTGAGTCTGATTACAGAAAAGGAGGACTTCCCGCTGGATACTAACTGCGGAACTTGGATGCTTCATAACTCTAAAATTTTGTCAACAACACACGGTTCAACGTTATACATAATGCGATGTTGCAGGTTGTTGAATGAGTAATCAGATTCCGCAATTTTAGGAAACTGAATATCATTCCTCCACCGAAAAATTACGACTTGTGACACGGTCCTTCTTCAAGATTACAACGTTCAACATTTATTTGATGTCGTTTGACTCCAGTTCAACATTTCGTTAAACAATGTGTACAAACTGAAGCATATAACCCCGAAGCGGGGCTATATGCTTCTGGTACAAACTACTGTTCCTTAACTGATTAAGTTGAAGTATTGCTAGGTTTGGTTCTTTGACAAACAGTTTCATCTGTACGTATGTCAGGCGCGGATCTAGGATAAATACTGACCGTTTTAAACGAGCGCCGAAGGCGTAAGCTTCTAGTGGGGTCCGGATGCATGCACCCCCCGTGAAATTTTTTTGGATTTTTCTCCCTTAAGTCACCTTTCCTGGGTTTCTTAGTCATTCAGTCAGGATATTGGCCAGATTTTAACTTGGAAAGTTTTATTTTATGAAAAATTTATTTAGTTATGAAAACTCTGACCGATTTTTGTAAAACGGTGGAAACCGGTGTGGACCCGCGCCTGTATGTTAAAGCTAACACGAAAACAAGAAAACACACACAGAGAAAGAAATAAACTACATCTGTACAGTAGCTTATAACATGTGAGACTCGCAACATCAGGCCAGAACTGAGACTACAGGAATTTTTCTAGCGAGGCTGAGGCTGCCTTAAAATCTCAGCCTAAATAAGTGTCCAAGGTACGTTCGACGTTAGAACCACGACTTCAGTCTGCTATTATTTTTCCAAGGCTATACTCAGAATCTTAGTCTACTAGAGGAAATTGCAAATTTTCGGTATAAAATCGGGCAATTTACTATTTTAGCCAACAAATTGATTATCGGAAAAATCAGTTACCAGGGAAATAATAGAGTTATTTTACTTAAAGCATCAGACAGAAATTAACAATTTTAAAGGGCAAAAGAGAATACAGTGGAGTTGGTCAAATCGCTCTGTCAGAGGTGAAGCTTAGTTGAGATAGGATCGATCAGTACTCTGTATATTGCTATACAGGACTATGCCAAGAGCAATAGATGTATAATGTGATTAAAAAGCTATTTTTTTTCACTTGTTTTACTTCTGTCTTTGGTAAGTAGTTCTATACCCACAAACTTAGTCGTAAATATGCAGTTTCCCAGAGAATGTACGGGTTTATCGCATCTTATTGATTTGGTTGTTTGTTAGGATGGCATCTTTTTTGGGTGCTGAACCACGCCTTAATTGGTCCCC